TTTATATCGATTTATTAGCATTATCCATGTCGAGACTTCGTGACTTTTTTCAACTGAATAAAGTTTTTTCTCGTTTTTGCTCCATCGTTCCAAAACATCGATTCATCATAATAGACCGAGTTGCCTTTCAACTTTTGCATTTTTCTCTCACTTTACTTTCTGAAACACACACACATACAAAAATATCGTTGCCAATAGTCAGTCGGTTGCGCGGTGCCAAACAGAGAGAATGAGAAGAATACCGATGGATTTGAACAATCGAGAACAACAATGGCATAAATGATATTATATGAAAATGGCCAAGAAGTTGAATCGCTTTGAATTACTTTTGTTTTTATAGTGCAGAAAACGATGCCATAACCACTCGGGTTTTTATGGATTATTATGGTTTTTTGTGGAGTTTATTTTTTTGTCATTCTCTCTCTCTGTCTGTCTCTTTCTACCTCATCTTTATGAGTTCTTGATGCTTACTCATATTACGCTGTTTCATTTGAAATATGAGCTTTCTTGGTATTTGGCATTCAGTGGAATTCATTTCATTTAACATTCATTACCTTCAAAATACTCGGAGCTATATCGAAAGTTGCAACGAGTTTTGTTTAAAAAAATATAAATAAGAAGTGAAGCTGTTGAACGTATTATAAACTGAAGTGAAAACAAATCAATTGAAAACGGTTTACGAGAGCGTACTTCGTATACGTTGCGATCAAAAAAGGTTAATTGAAAAGATTAAATGGAAATACTTGTACATCTCTCGCTCTCGCTCTCTCACTGTTTGCATCGTGTTTGGTATTGAAAGTGAAATTGTTTTGACATCGGTGAATTGTTTTGTTGAATAGCCGGATATTTATCAAAGCCACTTTAAATTAAAATTGAAAGCAACTTAAAACAAACGAATCATCCGAAAATGGTCGTCGATGGAATACTTTGCATCGATTATAATCATCTCTTCCATCTTTTGTTTTTCACTTAAAGAAATTTATACATGTATGCTGCGATGTTTATCGACCTGTGCTAATAATTTATCTTTATGTTGTTTTTCTCTTTTGATTTATGAACCATATTTCTACTTATTTTCCCCCTTCATACTCAAGAGAAGTGGAAAAAACGTGCCTTTTGTTTCGCTTTAAGAGTGACACAATTTAATTACATTATAAATATTTTCTACCTTTTGTAAATGCGAACTCATTTGGTCTGAACTTCAATGATGAAAGTCGCACATATTTCTTCTTTTTTATACAAAAAGCAAAACGATTTGGTTAATTTTCCACTGTTTTCTTCGTCGTCTCTTTATTGGTCGATTGTATTTTTCAGAATTCGTTGATGGAATCATTTTCATTACGATCCTTATCTGGTGTTGCTCATGTGCTCTTGATCGAGATTTTGCTTTTCATCGACGGTTATTTCTGCGACTCAAAAGCAGAAAAAAAGGTAATAATAGCGACGTGATGAATTTGAATATGGAAGTCGATCGTAATTCGCTTCGGTTTTGATCCATGCCATTTACTGTGGAATGGAAAAAAACATTAATTATACTCGCCGCGAGGTGTTTTGTGTATTTTTAGTTTGCTTACGCTTATTGTCTACCATTGGTCAAGAGCAAGGTTTTTTCTCCTTATATTTGCACATATAATATTTTCATTCATTGTCGATTGCTTAAAATTGCGATTCATTCTCTTTGTTTTGAGCGTTAAGCGCTTTTCTCTCTCTCTTTATTTCAACTTCACGACATTTACCATCGACTACGAGTGAAAGACTTTCCAATTGATGTTCGCTAAATTACATTTTCGATATGAAACTTTGATTTGATTTTGTAATTTGCTTGAAAAATTTTGCGTGATTTAAAGAAATCATAGTTCATTTTGCAAATTTTCAACCAATTACCATCTTGATGATTCGTTTTTTCCGCAGAGATTAAATGATTGGCTCAAATCAGGGTCTTAGCTAATTTGATAGGAAATGTTAATGTGGTCATGAAACACAATCGAATAATTTGATCAATACGATATTTAATAAGTGTTTGTAAACATAGAGTCGGGCTCAATAAATCGACTCACATTTGATGTCACGCCATTCAATACGAGAAAAAAATCACATTATGTACAGTGGCCGTGTGGTTTGTGAATTGCGAAGTAAATCGTCAATCAAAGTCTTTGGTTCCAACCAGACACCGCACCAATTTTATTAAGTAAATCGTGTAACATTTTTCCCTTTCCAAGCGAAAAATCTTGGCGGTGATTTGCTGTTTAGTTGTTGTTGTTTTTTTTTCTCAGTCTTTAATTGAGAAAATTGCCGATCAGAGAGACGCAATATGCGATTATAACATCGATTTGTGTGCACGGCACAAGAAAGCAACAAACATATATGTCCAAATGTGTGTAGATGAAATTCTAATCGTATGCAATGCACGCTACCATTTGCCGTAAATAGTAAAAACACAAATACGATATAATATGTACATATAAATTTACTTATTTGCCGATGCTGACGATTCGCACGAATCGGTGATTATATTACGATATTATTAAATGATAAATTAAACGATGGTATAAGCCTGTTTCGTTGCATACGCTCTCTCTCTCTCTCTATCTCTCTCTCTCTCTCTCTCTCTCTATCTCTCTCTCTCTCTCTCGGTTCGGTCGGTTGGTGAAAATGACGACTACAATTAGTATGAATGCTTGTGAGATTGTAAATCGCATGTGAGACATAAATCATATGACAAGGTGCATACTGTTTGTGTCAGCGAGCCACCGCATACGCTGTGCACAACGTAGAATTTATGGTGAAGCATATAATGTCGACAAGAATGGTCACAAAAATGAAATAAACAGGTACATTAAAGGCAAATTCCAAAAAAAAACATATACACATCCACTTGTGTGCTGGAATCGCACAACCAACTACATAACATCTGCGGTACACATATGCCCAAGACTTTGTACATCGTAATAATTGTCATTGCAAAAGTTTGCATTCAAAAAGGTATCGGCATAGTGGATGCTCACAAATCTTGCCTCTATGAGTGCAGTCATTTCTGTTGGTGCGCGCAACGTTAAGATTTGTGCAAATCGTTTTTGTTTTTGCTCATTTAATAAATCTCATCTGTTTCTGTATATACATTTAAAAGTACCGGTTTTCATTATGCTAATTAAATTGACAAATCAGGTTCTGCTTTGTTTCCATACGTTTTCTCAAGAGTGTCTTCTAAGAACGTCATAATATTATTGAATAAAACATATTTTGCTGTTTTACACCGAGTTTTATTGCCTTGATTTCTGCATTTTTATTGATTCATTCTTCGTTCATTAAGATGTTACTGCTGATCAGTTTTTGAACAAAATGCGTTTTATTTCATATTGAAAATTGGCAAAATTCTAATGAGCCTGACTTGTTGATGCATATTTAAAAGCAGAAATCTTTTGACATGTTTTTGTGCAACTGTTGTCGTTTTCGTTGTTGTCAAACAAACACGTTCACAAAAATTACGCATATAAAACTTGGCTCATAAAACGTAGTCTAACACACGATCGTTGTTCCGTTGCTTATGACATTAACGTAGTGATTTGTTATGCTTGTTTCTCGCATGCAAATATCAAAAACATACATGACGAGACCAAAAATGTTTGTGTGAAAATGGTGAAATTTGAAAAAAGGGAAGAAATAAAAAACAGCTCCCAGCCAGCCATTGCTTAATACTTTTGTGAGTATGAAGTGCATTAATGATGTTTACGTTCCGTAAGCACTGCAACGATACTCTAACCATTTTCAATAACATTTTCGCTTAGCAGCCTCATAATTCCTTACATATTTACAATTTACTGCTGGCGTTTTTTTTGCGTTCACTCCAGAGAGAGAGAGCGAGATACTGCGACCGTAAAAATAGTAACGGCGAGGTTTCACATTTCCATTGTTCAAGCGAGTGAGTTGTGGCAATTTTAGAAAAAGCGGTGACTCGATAGAGCAGACGGGTGTGTTCAGTCAGTTTAGTGTGCATTGTTTACAATATATATTATGCCTGCTGTTATTTGTACATTGTTTACGTGTGTTTGTTTATTTGTTAGACGCTTTTTCCACTATTTCATCATCTGACGCCTGGCAGTTTCAATGCCAAACATGATAATGAATATTATTCATTGCGTTCATTTTGTCATTTCGAAAAGTTTAATTTTTCAGAAAACTTACATCGCACACAATATGAAATATTAGTACGATAATAAAAATCGCTGATTTATCGAAACAAATGACAACTTTTATAGAATATAAATCTGAGAATATAAAGAAAAATGGCACAATTTGCAATAGACTCGTAAAATTCAATTTGTTTTTTCAACGACAAAAAATGCGCAGATGGAATTTTGGCCGTTTAATACATGGAAAATTGTTTACAAAACTACCATCGAACGAAATTCGGTGAAAAAAGGCAAAAAGAACGAAAACCATTTGGTTGACTATAATTTAGTTTTATTGAAAAATTTATGAGATTCCCATCTGAAGCGCCAAACAACGAATGAAATAGCCGCCCTCTCGGGTCAAAAATATGATTTGGTGAGAATGTATAAACCAATGATTATGGTGGAAAAGCGAAAAAAGAGAGTAAAACAACCGTATGGAGCAACATATTTGCTGTACGAGTTGAGCATAGCAATTGAAAAATTGTTTCCGTGTCAATGCACTCCGAAGAGCATTTCCATTATCACTTTATTGTTGCACTGACATTTTTCATAACTTCTAGCCAGACACTTCGAGTGTTAGTTGCACACACGTATGCCAGTTAGTGTTACCATGAAATTTATATGGTTTATGCGGTTATTCATTTAAGAATTCAATTGATAAGTTGAATAGTTTTCAGTTCAAATGACTTATGTGATGTGGTAAATTGTTCATGTCTTTGTACGAAAAGAAAGAGAAATCGATATGAAAACCATAGAAAAAACGATGATGCATTTTAAAACACAATCATTTGCAACCAAAACATAAGCGTGTGTGTCACAACCCTGACTTGCGTCATATGGGCTTCTGTGTTATTAAGCCGAACTTAGCCCAACGTGGCGCCATCTCTATACACGAAATCCAAGTAATAGAACTTTTCAAGTTACGAAATAATCGCACATCGAATTGCGTTTCTTAAAAAATTGTTTGTAAACACTTTACTTGATTTTTCATAATTTAAAAAAACCTAAATAATATAATAAAAATATAGAATTTTTTTATATAGATAAATAAAATTTAATTTAGAATTAAAACATAATATATCATATGAATTGTGTATAGAATAGTGTGATTACATTCATTTGAACGATATCGTTGCAATCTTTGCAAAAGTAAGGCTGATTTAGTCGGTTTAATACACAAAAAAAACATGAACGATTAAAACCAATAAAATTCAATAAAATGCTTTGTAACAATCACACATAATAATAATACTTACCATTATTTTTTTCCGTCGCAACATTAAACTACAAACAGTAAAACAATTTTGACATTTCGCTCTATTCACTTGTACGCTATATATGTTGGAGATTTTCCAATACGTAATACGTACATTGTAGAGATATCAATGTAATCACACTATTCTATACACAATTCATATGATATATTATATTTTAATTCTAAATTAAATTTTATTTATCTATATAAAAAAATTCTATATTTTTATTATATTATTTAAGTTTTTTTAAATTATGAAAAATCAAGTAAAGTGTTTACAAACAATTTTTTAAGAAACGCAATTCGATGTGCGATTATTTCGTAACTTGAAAAGTTCTATTACTTGGATTACGTGTATAGAGATGGCGCCAGTGGTAGAGCTTTTGTCAAAAAGTCAAATGTAAGTAGGAGTTGGTGTGTCACAAATCAACAAATTCTTTTCAGTAAAATCATTCGAAGAAGAAGAAAAAAAAGTATAGAAGAGACCGTGTTCAATCGGGTCGATCAATTGTGTCAACGTTACAAGTTTTGAATTGAACATTTCTTTGAAAGTTTTTTTTTTTGATTCACAGATTTGTTACTACGATATCAATAGAGAGAAAAAACGAGAATCTTACAAGTTTCAAGCGTAATATGAAAAGTTACAGAAAAAAAGTTGGAAAAATCGGTCAAATTCATTTGCTGCTGTTACTGCGGTTGACCATTTGTCGAACATGGTAGCATGAAAAATGCATTCCTTTTAATTGAAAATCCAAATAGCGATAAATTGTAAATGAATGTTCACAGCAAATGATGTTAAAGGCGCATCACATGTGCATCATCATACAATGTTAAAACAATGTTGCGATGAATTGGTTTGGTTGGTTGCTTGTGTGGTTTGAGCGCATAACAACTACAATATATGCGATTAAATTCGTACATGGTCACATCACGTTGCATGAAAATAGCTGCAGGGTTTTATTGCAAAAGCGCACAGAAGCCGTATTGGCTTTAAATAAAATATTGACAGTATAGCAGTAGACAATAGCGACCACGTTGGCGCTGTTGTTGTTCAATCGATCACACAACTCCGCTCCAATTATTAAATCGCATTCGTGCAATTAATACGTTACCATTTTGAGAGCGGTTCATACTGAATCGGTTTTTATATTGTATTGTTTTTGTCTGATCTACTTTTGACAACGGCCAAATGAAGCGGCCATCGGCTCCAGCGTAATTGAGAGATTTGTGAATGAAAAATAAAACATGATTACAACCAAAACTGTTGAAATATTGATGGATTGACGTTAAAACGTGAGAAGATTTAGATAGAATATCACAAACGATTGTAAACAATGGGTTGTGAGAAGCGAAAGTTTTCAATGACGAACAATTTTGACGACACAATAAAAATATTTGACGTTACGCGCAAATGCTGTCTCCCTTTTTTTCTCTTTCTCTCTCGTGATCATTGTACTCTATAAATATATTGTACAAGTATCGATTGCTTTTTAAACAAAAACAATGAAACAAGCGTAATGATATTAACTCAACCATCTGGCAAAACAAAGCATCTTATAAATATAGAGAAACGATGCGAATCTGAATTTCTATAGTACTCATTGTGTCAGCTTGCGCATCATGCGATCGCTTTGTCTTGCAATACGATTTTTTTTGGGCTCAATTAGTCGAAATTTGTCGATCCTATCCTGACAGATAACAAATTAATCAATTGTATTTCTACAAAGACGTTCCAACCAATGAGTTTGGATATAAAGCATTGTAATGAATCAGATAACAAAAATGCTCAAGTCGAATAGAGAAACACCAAAAATACTTGAGCATCGTTGCGCATTAATTGGGTAAAGGTCAGCGTACTCAAGTTTTGAGTTTCACACTCTTCTCTCACACAACACTTTTCATTTTTGTTCGCTCATCAAACGACTCTCGAGTTTTAAGTTTGGATAACCATTTTGGTACCGTTTTTTTTATTCACCATTTCGACTATTCTGCTTTGTTTTTCAGAATTTTTTTTTTATATCTTGTTCTTTTGCATTAATCTGTACATTTTATTCTTGTTCTTTTCAGATTTGAAAATTGGGTGCGCGGTGTGCGAAATTTAAACCATTGTTCAAAACATAGCGTGGCGACTACACAAATCCAAATTTAAACCCAAATGTGTATAGTGTGTTGATCTTGAATTGTTTTGCAGAACACATTACGAAGCAGCAAAAAGCACACACCACACATAAAATAATTACGAAAACTCATTTGCGCGCACACACACATACTCGTTTCGTCTATCATCGACTATGACGAAGACAACGACTCGTATTCATTTGCTTGTTGTGATGTGATAATAACATTTATTGTGTAGTCAAAAAATTGTTTCAAGATAAACAAACGACGTATTTGTGTATTGTTTCGAAAGTAGGTATATGTGAATGAAATCATATAATAAGGAAAAAACAATGCAAACCAGCTGAATATAAAGAGAAAGAAAAAAAAGTGCGCGCCAACGATTCTAATGAAACTCAGTCGTTTTAATGAAGCTGATTAGTAAATTTCCAAATTACGGTTTCTAAGTGATTTTTTTCTGTAGATAAACGCACTTCATTTAAGAGTTGTTATACCAAAATTCGTAAAAGCGGCACACAAGCCATTTGGAACGTTCTTGTGCTTACGACGACGAAAAGAATAGTAAAGAAAATCATTTAACCGAATTCGAAAAAGATCGAAACGAGATATGGCAATTTATGGAATCGAGAAAAAAGTGGTTCCATAAATCAATAGCGTATTTTGTGATGTAGGTGATAGTAAAAATTGAAAACTTACAAACAAGAAGTGTGATATCGAAGGGAATTGTGAAGATTGTGAATTTGCATGTTAATGCATGAAAGAAAAAAACGAATTGTGTAAGACGCGGAGAAAATTGGAATTGCGAAAAAAAATTGTGAATTGATTTAAATAAAGAAAAAATCCGCCGGCAAAATTCAAACGTATAGCAGGATTCGATTGCAATTTGTCAATGCATGAGAAAGACAATGTTTGCATCGAATAACAGTAAAAACAATTTGAATCAATTTGAAGAATCGGGAATCTGAGTTCCGGCGCTTATTTCAATCATAAACATAAGACCTGCTGCCGTTGAGCATTGTGCATGCGATCAGTGGAGACGGCGACATGGATTTTAGCAGCGGTTCACACATTCGAGCGCCATCTCTGAAACGAGGGAAAAGTGACAATGGATTGAACGAACGGGTGAGTTGTGTCTTTTAACATTCTATTTTGTTATTCAATTTTCGAAAAGCCGCTCAAGTTTAACTGATGTACAAATCTTGAGGTTATAATTTTCTAATTTCATGTATGATTTATTGCTAAAATAACCCGACGATGTCAGTTATAAAGAGAAAATTATCTAGACACAATCGATTGAAAAAATTGCTGGCTCGAACATTTTCAAGGGCTTAGATCACGTCGTTGAAAGTAATTTGACTCAAAGGAATACATTATACACAGAATGCGAGATATTTTTTTTTCTTGCTCAAAATAGAATTAGGTCAGACATTATTTGCCTTGACCTCATAAATTGCACTGGGTTTTATGTCGTTAGCGTTGCTTCGCTCTTTCGCTGTGCAGTGAGTGCATCAATGCAACGATGCATCCGCGTATGCATACACATATTGATACACATATGTATAAAACAATTGCAAGTCTATTACAACGTTGTTATTTGTGCATGTGGTATGTGACTTTCTTCGGGCCAAACCATATATATGCCTATGTGCGCATGAAATCGCTTTTAATTGGTTTGGCAAAATGCATGACAGAACGGTTACAGTTGTATCAATGAACGAAAACAGAAATATGTATGTTGACGCTTTCGAAATTGGGTTTATTCAATTGTTAAGCAAAAGTCGTTGCGCTCTTTGGCGCGCACAATTTTTCAAATTTTATTCAACCGCACATTTTGTGCAACAGAGAAAGAATGTTCCAACTATTCGATGCTGTTGTCTTCCAGGGGCGTCGCCAAGAATTCGGTTGGGGGGGGGCAAGTCAGTTAAAAAACGAGGACATTTTTTTCAAAAAACGATGACATTTTTCAAAAAATCGATATATATATATATATATATTATAGATATAAAATACATATTATATTATGCATTTATGTTTTCTTATTTTAGCAATATTTTTCTTGTATCTGATGCGAACTTTTCCAAAACTTCGTTCAATATCTTGTTTTTATTTTCTTTTACAAGCTCGCGGTGAATGCTTAACATGCAAAGACCTGTAATGAATTAAACTTTAGAGTGTTATTCATATTTATTGTTACACAGCTAGCTACCTGTGAGACGGTTTGCGAGCATTGTTGTGCGGAGCCACGTTTTCACTCTTCTCAGTGTACTAAATGAACGTTCTATTGTACATGTGGTGCAAGGAAGGGCTAACGCTATCAATAGAACTTGTTTAATCGTAGGAAAAAAAGTGTTTGCTTCTCGAATAACATCGCACAATTCTAATTTTTCGAGTTTTTCACTGGTCAGCTTTTTTTCTTCCCACATTGTACGCCACAACTCTATTTCATTCTCCACATTCTCTACTCTATAGAATTCAGCAAAATTATTTATACTTGAGATCATTTCATCGTTAGTCATTTTGAGCATGTTGGATGGATGTAGGCTTAACAGTGAGAATGCCGGAATATTTTCTTCTGGAAAATGGTATTTTATATTCGCTATAAGTGAATCGAGGTATGGTATTAATAGAGATATTTTCCAATAATCAGAGGGACTCGATGAGGGTTGGTTTGATCGATGTACTTGTCGAGTTGTAACTCTGGGTATACAAAGTTCCACACCGATATTATTGGCGAATTTTTCAGTACTGTCCAAAAGATCTTTGATACCAGAATCTACATTTGTCCTATGGTCATTCAAAACACTTAAAATAGTTTTTATATGCATCGAGCATGAGAAAAGATCCAGATTTTTAGATTGTAGCGCATTTTCAATGGGTTCAAGAAAGAAAACAACCGATTCATCTATAAATGCAAAGAGTTGGCTATCGCTTTCAATTGTGATGTTTATGCCTCATATAAACAAAACAATGTAAGTTTTATACTTTGCTTTGTCGCTGTTTTGAGACGTTAGTTTGATAAATTCAGTAACAAATGTTTATATAATTACAAACAGACTCTAAATGATCCAACGAACTGATGTCATCGATTTTTCAAAAAAAAAAATGAGTAAAATTTGAAATGTGAAATAGCTCTTTCGATTATTAGTTCATCGGTTCTCTAAAAAAATTTTTTTGATGTCTGGCATTTTAAAAATCGAGGACAATTTGCTCAGGGGGGGGCTGCCGCCACCCCCCTGCCCCCCTCTGGCGACGCCCTTGTTGTCTTCTCTTTCACCGAACATTACATTTTATTTATTCATGTAATTCTTTCACAATTGTTCAGTTTCATTCTATATGCACTCATGCATTTTGAAGCAATTCATACATTTGGCGAGTGCATAAATTTCGACGGACCGACGCGTCCAAACAGTGTAGTGATTGTTGTTGTTTTTTTCGGTGTGTAAAGTATGTGCATTGGCAACGCTATATTCTAGGCAATGGGCCACATTGAGCAGCGAGTGGAAGCGCGCCCGAGCCAAGGAATACTAGACGTAAAATGCATAAGAAACTCTTTTCGTGTTTAGCATTTTAGATAACTTTCACAAAAATCGAATACAATTGAATGGCGAATGAGAGTGAGCGCACACGCGGCCGCAGCGCACCGTCATCCGAAACCTATAGCTTTTGCAATTGAAACGCGCCAGCAGAGATAAAAACCCGAAATAGAGAGAGCGAGTGTGTGTCAGAGAGAGAAAGAGAATACACAAACGACTAATACACATTACAACAGTCAATATACGGTGTTTTGTGTTGAGACGGCATTTGTGCCAATGCATAAAATAGTACGCTCTTTCTGCCGAACAACTTGAAAGTTAGTACTTTTTGCATGGTTATAATGTTTAATTATTCAATGGTATTGCTTTCTTCAAATTCATCATCAAATGCAATTTCACCCATACATTTTTCGCCATGGCTATTGGTACTTTGGTGTGCGGTTTTCAATAGGTCGTGTACATTTTCTCTATTTCGTTCAATAAAATAATTATTATCGCTTCTTTCAAGCCGACAATTTCTTTGCATTTTCGACAAATTGAACACGAAACCACAACAACAACAACAACAACAACAAATAGTCGTTGCCTCGTTCTAGTGTGTTTCGGCAAATCGGTGTGTTTCATTTTTCTTCTTCTTTTTCATTTACGACTCTTGCATGTTTTGGTTTGTTTTGCGCGTTCAACCGGTCGTCTCTTTTCGTTCTGCATTGCTTCGTGCGTTAAGATTGGTGGAATAGAGCAGTACAACAACAGCAACAAATCGGCACAATGTAAAAAAACATCAAGAGTAACTGAAAAATATAAACAAATTCATAATGGATCACATTATATACACAATCGTGCAGTTGTGTATCGCACCGCACCGTTATACGAAAGTGAGCATTCGACTAATGAGAGTATATTCCATTTTGTCAGTTCGTAAGCAGTCTTCGGTTCGGTCACAATTTTTCTTTACAAACCCAACAAATTAATCGCAAAAAACAATTATTTTTCCATTTCTCTATAGCGCGCGAGCGCTCGTAAACTTAAAAATAACAATCAAATTGTAGATACATACAAAGGCCATCGTTGATCGACGCTAATTGATGTGCATTAACAGTTTGGAATTAAAAGCATTGATTTATTTTTGTTTATATTGTGTATTATTGATGGGCCTGTGCGTCGTTCACAATAATCGAATCCGACTGGGTGTCATCTTATCAATTTTGGCGATGAAAACGATCACGCTAGATTAAGCAAAACGCTGAAATCATCATAAAATCTCATTTTGAATTCGTGAACTAGTGAAACGTATTATTTTTAGCAATACTGAAATTAAAATCGCGTCGCAATAATAAAAAGGTCGGATTCATATTGTAGATTGTCAGTGTATGTGACATTTTAATCATTTCGGTGAATGAATAAATTTTTAATTTTTTAATCAAAATCCGCCAAATGAATAACAGTCGATTTCTCGAAATCAGTACATATTCATTTGTTACTTGAGCCCGAAGAGAAATGATACTGTATTATATCATAAAATGTGAATGTAACCATTTTTACAGTACAAAGAAACGTGTTGTAAGAAACGTTTTGATGTTGAATTTATGTGTAGTACTGAAACTAACAACATGGAATATCACTACGAACGCTGTGAATCTGTAAGTAAATCATTACATACGAAATTGTTCAAAAGTTTGTTCTTTTTTGGGCATTTTTTTTCTTTGCTTTGTATGAAATGAGCTCAAAGCGGGCATAACTGAACGCAGGTCGCTAAGGTGACAGATGTTGTTTTTCTTGTGGCAAATGTCAACTCCAAAAATTATTTTTCACATTGTTTGCCAACAAATGACTAAAAAAACTCTAGCTCACGTATTGGCACACACATACACACTTATTTAGGCGCACCGTTTGTTAGTGCGAAATACAGACCTACTTAACTTATTGAGAAATATGGCAGATCGTTCGTTGTCTCGGTGCCAGAATGGAGCCGCTAATGTTTCTTTAATCAATTAAATTAGCAACAAATAAATGGCTCAATTAATTTTCGTACATAAAAATATTCCATAAACTCCGCTATTAACTTCGACTGCACGATGTTTTGATTTAAGAAGAAAAAAACAACAACGTCATTTACGCTGCTTGTCCATTTATAAACATACGAATATTCTATCTTAATTTGAATTTTAGTTAATTTAGAAGCAGTGCTGTAAAAGTTGGGCGTAAAAGCCTAATCGCTATAGATAAATGAAGTGTCATGTGAATACAGCGCGATTGTCACCTCTCTTTTTTTTCGTCGTCATTTTTTTTTCCGCACACATGAAACGAAATATGTATTTACAGCAAATTTATTGTTTGCTTAAAAATTGTCGCTGTATATCTATTGCATTATTATTATTAAAATGCAACAAGTAACGTGCGGTTATTTGAGAATGGCCATTCTTTTTGCTTTAGAATCTGAAGTTTTAGGCCACTCGATACAAAATACTACGGACGGAATTATATAAAAAGAACGAGCAAAGACAAATGGTGCTTGAAATTGAGCAATGGCTCGATTCATTCATTCCGTTCCATGCGCGTCAAAGTTGTCAACAATCCATTTACGGTAAT